AGCTGGCTCAGCTCGGGGCATTCAGACCCAGCTCTCCGACAGCACCATGAAGTCAGTGGGCGTCCTCCTCCTCCTCGTGGGGCTCCTCACCCTCTAGACGGAGCTGCCGGCTGCCACTGAGCAGAAGCAAGGTTAGTACAGACAGTGGCTGTCTCCAGGCCGGGGTAGAGGGCAGCAGGCTGCATCCCACTGGAAAACAGAGCAGGGGCTCCCCAGGGATCGTTGTACCGTGACCCTTCCAGGGCAGCAGCTGAAGATGTCCCATTTGGAAACTTACTGGGCAATACTTTGCCTTATTTGCAGCCTTTTTGCCCAAAACATTGAGGCCTGATCTGCCAATCAGGCTTAAGGACAGATTTTAACTCTTTAATGGCTGCACCCAATGTTCTGGCTTCACAATTGTTTTTTAGACCAAGGAAAGGAGCAGCCCCTTGTTTTTGCTCTGACCCCTGGGCCCTGCTCAGTCCACGGGGTAGATATGAAAACTCCCTGTTCTGTGGCATTTAGCCTAAACTGACAGTGGTGGATGGTGTGTCTAACTAACTCCCCTGGGTAGCAAGGGTCTGGAATTCAATGTGTCCATGGGCTGACCCATCCCTACCTGGGCTCATTTCTCTCCCAATCTTGGTTTTCCAGTCCAGAGGGGTAGAAATTAATTTCTTAATTAAAGAAGATCTCCCAGAAATCTTTCCCCATCTGTCTGTCTCCTCTGTGTCTCTATCGAACAATGCTAAGGTACCATGCGAGAGGCACTATAGAAAATAGGGTGGCAGAATTTGATTTTCTTTTTGTGTAATATTGACAGATAATATTTGTTTATTGTTAAAGTTTTTTAATTTTTTTTATATATTTACATTTTCACAGTTCATTATTGGGAGGAGGGGGGTGTCAACCAATAATTACTTAGTGATAGAAGACATTCAAAAAAGTAAAGCTTCATAACCATTAAAACACAAATTGTCAAAACCCACATGTAAAAATATCCAAGGTAAATATCCTTAAATCAAACTCTAATCAGCCCTCAAGCTCTTATTTTTCTGACTTTGCCCATCTATAAATCTCAACTATTGATGGAAATATTTTTTGTTGGTTTGTGTGGGTACAGTAAAATCAGAGGTTACTGACATTTACCAATAAAATATGAATCCTCCAACCCTTGTGTGAGGCACTATATAAAAGCTTAAGACAGATACACATTGTGATAGTTATATTGCGCTCCTCACCTTCATATCTGAGTACATAATCAATAGGCATGGCAGAATTCAATTTTCTTTTTGTATAATTTTGACATATAATATTGTTGTTTATTTTTAAGTGTTATTTTCAATTTGTATCAATTTATATTTTCACAGCTGTAGAAACGTAAGGGTGGTTCAGCCAATAATTATTTCATGAGAGTAGACGCTGTGACTGAAAAAATTAAAGCTTTATAACCATTAAAACACAAATTGTCAACATCATATGTCAAAATATCCAAAGTAATTATCCTTAAATCAAACTGTAATCAGCTCGCAAGCTCTCATTTTTCTGACTTTGCCCATCTGTAAATTTTGATTATTATTGATGAAAATATTTGTGTTGGTTTGTGTGTGTGTGCAGTCAAATTGACGTTTACCGACAAAACAGGAATCCTCCAACCCTGATAATAAACACACCTAAATCCAAACAGACGTTCTACATATAGAGCAAGATGAGTCCTTGGTTTTGTCCTGAGGCCGCAGGGATTGTGGCCATGCATGAGCTCTTGTGGGACGGGACTCTACTGCCATGAGCTGGCTCCCCACATTTATTAGTCTCAGCTTTATTGATGAAAATCATCCCTGAGGATTGATTGCAGCTTGTGCGTTAGCTTTTGGTCATGGAAGGAGAGATGGTATCTGAGAGAGCCCAGTCCATCGAGAGCCTTGAAAATCAAGACCAGGATCTCAGACTAGGTCCAGTGCCTGGTGGACAGCTAGTGCAGTGATTGCAGCCGTGGACAGAGGAGTGCCCACATTCCCATCTCTGTTCTGCTCCATCACAAAGGACCTGACTCACAATGGCCCTCCCTGTCGCTATTGCAAATTGAAAGCAGCAGCAATCAGAGCTAGGCGGCATAGCCCCGTGTCCTGACTAGTAACTTTTGTTCAAGTCTTGAATTCTGATCCTCATAGGACAGTGGAGGACATTGCCTCTAGCCTGCTAGGTCAGTAGTTCTCAACCAGAGTTCCGGGCCCCCCTAGGGGGGCTTGAGCAGGTTTTAGGGGGGCCTCCAAGCCGGACCAGCATTAAACTCACTGGGGCCCAGGCAGAAAGTCAAAGCCCCATCGCATGGGGCTGAAGCCCAGGTCCCTGAGCCCCACCACCCAGGGCTGAAGCTGAAGCCTGAGCAATGTAGCTTCATGGGGGCCCCTGTGGCATGGGGCCCCTGTGGCATGGGGCCCCAGGCAGTTGCTCTGCTTGCTACCCCCCTAATGCCAGCCCTGGCTTTTGTATGCAGAAAGCCAGTTATTGAGGCCCAGGTGGGCCGTGGAGTTTATATAGCATGTTGCGGGAGGGGGCGCAGGGACTCAGAAAGAAAAAAGTTGAGAACCTCTGTGCTAGGTGACACTGCAGGGTGGATTTCAATCAATAATCCCCACAGCCAATAGCAGGGTGTTCATACTCTGGCTGTTTTCTGTTGCAGTGAAAGCTGGGACCTGCCCACCAGATTACGCAATGTGTTATCGGAGAGAAACTGATGAGTGTGCCATGGATTATCACTGCGAAGAGCAGAAGAAGTGCTGTGATTGCCATTGTGCCATGCACTGTGTGGAACCAGCAGAAGGTACGTGAGAATGCTCATGTCAACATTTAGGGTCTCGTGCAGGGGAAGTCTCTCCCCCATCCTGATGAGCCAGACTTGTCTGCAGGATATGGAGTGATCTTGGGCAGGCGCCTTTGGGGATTTCAATGGACAGAAAAATCCCTGTGGAGCTCTGAGTAGAAATTCCACCAGGTAACAGCTGGTCACCCCATCCAGAGGCCTTGGTGAGAACCAGACACTGAGTGAGAGGAGCTGTGTGGGTTGGGTGGGGTTATGAGTCATGGGTGGTGTAGAGCTAAATAACGCCCCTTGGTACCTGAATGCTGGTGTTAAATGTGTGCGCAGGGGGCTGAATCCAGTCCTCCTTGGGCTCATCATTCTCCAGTCCCCTCATCTCCAGGTGGCAGGTCTCCACTCACAGGACCACTCAGCTGCCCTATTCTGGGCTTCATCTGAGCTCAGCATAGCTCATCAGATGAGGAGGATGGGGTGGGTCTCTGCCACCTTAGTCCCTCCTGGATTTTAAAGGCAGAGGAGTTGACCCAGCATATGCAAGAGTGGCCCATAAGGAGCCACCTGTCAGCAGCACAGGGTAGGCAAGAATAGCATTCAATTCACCTGTCCCTTCTCCAGCCACACCTAGGCCAGCAGCTGCGAAGAGGGCTGGCATAAAGGCATTCTACTGGCCCTGTACCAGAGGAGATATTGCCCAGTGGGGAGAGCACTGGGTTTGTGGCCCCCATACACCCACAGACCTGGCCCAGACAACCTTCAGTGAGGCCAGAACAAAGGCCAGGCTGTCTTATCAGAGACTTACCAAGTAACAAGGATCATTACTGAGCACAGTACTCTACTATGGCAAATACGGCAACCTCTCCTGTGCACCCAGCTGGCAGGACAGCGAGTGCGTGATGGAGAGATACATAAGGCCAGCTAGGTGGCACCACATATTGATGTTCAGTGAACCATGTACACTTTTTATATACCACTAATTTCTTCTGTTGCAGAGACTCCTGGGACTTGTCCAGCCATCACTGTAGTTTGTCCCATGGTTGATCCTCCTAACCGCTGTGAAAAGGACAGCAAGTGTCCAGAAAACCAGAAGTGCTGTGACACCGGCTGTGGGAAAGATTGTGTTTGGCCTCAGAATGGTCCCCATCTCTTCTAACACATCAGTCATATGTATACAGCTCTGCGGTGAGATCACACCCTGCTCCAGCTGGGCCAGGGGAGTGCCTGCCCTTAGGAAGGGAATTACAGCTCTGGGCTGCAGACACAGAGCACTGCACTGACCAGAGCTCATGACCAGGGTCAGAACATGCTGCTTTAGCTGTGAGGGACTTGGGTCCTTGGCTTCCCGGCTTCCCCAGATGGGATGCTGGGGACAAGCTGATGCTAAACCTGAACCTGATTAGATTTCAAATCCAATGGCCTCTCAGTCCTCTTAGACACACCCTTTGTACCCTAACCCCATATAGGGGCTAGCTGGGAGTGTGAGACACAAGGAGGAGGAGACAAGCATGAGAGAGGGAGCTGGGGTGCCCTGCCAGGAGGGGAAGGGAGAAGATCCTCTCCCACTGTGAATTCTGTAATAGTGGGATCCTGAGGACGCATGCAGCAGACTTGGCTTGTGGGCAGGGCTCATTCGTCATAAGCTCAGCTCTCCAGCACATACATAATCAGGTATAGCCAGCCAGACCTCCTGGGCACAGCACCTAGGCTGTCACCTGCCATGTACATCACAGAGGCTGTCAGGGTATGGCTGCCTTTAATGGGTTGCACTGAGAACGTGCTCATTCCTGTACAAGACACAGTTCTGTACAGCACAGAGCCTAGGAGAGCCTTGTAACCCAGGCCAGGCCTGTAGCTGGGCCCTCCTGCTTTTCTGCAAAGCCTGGCCCAGGGCAGCTCAGTTTGTACAGCACAAGATTTTCTCATGGTGCCTCTGATCACTTTTTATTTTTCCAGCATAACTCCCTGCTTCATGGATAGGCCGAGGGCATCCCGAGGACAGTGCTGACCCAGATCCCTGTGTCCTGGACTCTCCAGACCCCTGCAGGCTGTATGCTGGGGCTCAAATGGAGCCTCTGCACAATTACAAATAAACTTGTTTATGACTCAGCTTTGCCATTGGGGATTCCTGAGTCTCATTGTCTCTCCTTCAGTTCTCTATTGAACAATCTATGAATAACGAGTTAAGGAATGGCAGGAGCCGGGGTGGGAGGCCAGGAGGTACATCAGGAAGTGAAC